GGAGGAGGAGGAGGAGGAGGAGGAGGAGGAGGAGGAGGACCCCCGAGCTCCCGGGGGCCGCCCGTTCGCCCGCGGGCCGCCTCTCGAGGGTCCCGCAGGGGCCCAGGGCATGCCCCCCTGCAGAGGCCGAGGTCACCCGAGAGATGCACCGCCGCGCCTCGCCTCGCGACTTGCACGGGGCTCCCTGGGGGGCCTCGCCGCGGCCGCCGTGGGGGGGCATCCGCGGCCTCGGGGGGGTGCTTTTGGGCGCGGAGCGGCCGCGTGGCGCCGCCCCAGGTCGAGCTCGCCGAGCTCCTGCAGGCGATGGCGCAGGCGAAGGACCGGTCTCGCCGCGCCCCGCGGTCTCGTCTCACCGACCCCCCTCCCAAGCCACACCCCCATCTGGGCGCCCCCCCATCTCAGCACACACCCCCAAGTGGGGATACAGTCAACCCGCATAGTGAGAACGGACAGCCTTCCCAAGGGTGCCCTTGCACATCCTTGCCTTTTCGGCTTATCCTTAGTGACTCTCGCTGGCCAGCCTCGTTCGAAAAACGCTAGCGCGGCCATCCAAGGCCTTTGTCCTCACCGCGCAACCTGATTATACGGGTTGACTGCATGCCCCTCGAGACCCGAAGGAAGCGGCCGATATCCCCATTTGGGGGGTAAATCGGCCAGTGAGGCCCTGGATCCCGTATGCAAGGAGCGTGGAGGGCAAGCATATCGGCGGGAACCGGAAGTCGGAGGGAGGCAGTGGAGAGACTCTGGACAACAAGAGGGCGAAAATCATGGATGACATGGAGGGTGACAGCAAATCAGGAGGAGGAGGAGGAGGAGGAGGAGGAGGACATGGACATGAAGGATTTGATGAACATTGGAATCAAGGATATGAAGGACATGAATCGGATGATGAAGAAGAGCGAGAGGAATGCGAAGGAGGCCAAGGCCGATGCGGCATCGGCGAAGAAGAGTGCTCTCCAGACCCACATCGCAGTCACCGGTTTGGAGGCATACGTCAATCAGTTGAAAGACAGCGATCACGACATGATTTCAGCGAGAATTTCAAAAAAGTGGCGTTCACCTTCAAATTAGAACACGATATAATCGGGAGTGGGTGGGAGAAGGTAGCAGTCTTCGGTGGGCTGGCAGATTGACAGGAGCAGTCAGCGGAGGAGTGGGTGACAAACAAACTCAAGGAATAAAGCGGATCGCCCCCACGGAAATTTACCACAACGGTGAGGAGTTCAAAGGCCTCCTGTCTGTGAAGTTTGACAGAGAGGAGGACGTATTCAAAGTGGTGAAAGAGATTCGCGGGCGCAGAGAGAAGGCAGGAGGGAAAGAGGTTCGGTGCAAGCTTGACCGGCCAGTCGTGGAGAACGCCCAATTGATTACCCTACCTTCTGTGCTCACGGTGGCAACTTTTAAATTGGGGCTTCCCGAAAAGCGAGCTGAAGGTCGACGAAGCAACAATGACCCTGAAGGTGCGCCAGGTTCTTGTGCTCAAGGTCAAAGTCGAGAACAACCACGCGGTGAATGATTGGGTGGACCCAACGTGGGGCTTATGGGACGACCTCCAGCGGAGCGACGAGTTGAAAAAGCTGTTGAAGACCGCAAATGAGAAGCTGACCAATGCGGCAGATAGTCAATGTAAAGGGAAGGGGAAGGGGCCCGGCGGCAGCCATCGCTCTTGACGGGAAGAACGACCGGCAGCAAGAGGCTGGAGGGAACCGGAGTGACGAGGAACACATGTATACACATGTCCATGCACCTCTTCATCTTCATCAATGTCCACTTGTTGTTGGGTTCTCAGCGCCATCGTCAGGTGGAGAGCGGGGAGCGTTCCAAACAGTTTGTGGGGATGTTCCTCTGGCAGCGCTGCGTGGCCTAAAGGCGTAGTTGCATTCGAATGCAATGACAACGACTTCGGCGAGCGATGCTGTTGACAAACCTGGTCATGCAGGGGGGGGCGGGGACATCAATGTCAACGCTAACCATCTTAACTGCAGGGGATGATTGAGAGACGACCGCTTGAGTGAAATACTTAATGGGCATGGGCCTGATGGGTGGGATCTTTGTCTGCTTGAACGAAGCGTGGCGCTGTGAAGCATGTGAGTGTTTGTTTAGCCAGGAACATCATAGTTTCGCAGGCAGTGGGTGGGAACAGGGAACGAGAGGAGCAGTTATCTTCAGAAACAAACGATGGGCGCATGGAACACTTACGGAAGTTTGCCCGCGTGTCCGAGAGAAGGTGTTACATCGGCGTTGTTTGCAGTTTCCGAAAATTCCATGTTGTTTCAGTTTGCTTCTCGCACACTGGATATGATGGCGGCCATGTCCAAAGCGTTCTCGGCGCGCACACTTTGTAATGGCAGGCGAATTCAATGCGGAGGCCGGGAAGCGAGAGAATGGCGACGTGGAGGCTTGCGTTGGCTTCTATGTGCTGCGAAGACAAAATGTACGAGGACAGTGGATGAAGGCGCGGGCGTGCACAGAGGAGCGGATCAGCTCGTCAAACACGTTTTTTTCCAACAGTGGTCCTAACATAATCATACATGGTGGCCCGCGTGCAAGCGAAAGGCATATTGATTACATTCTTGCCGATTTCAAGCGTATTTCATTTTTTTGTTGTTTTGTTTTTTTCCAGACTGCTTTGAGCATGCGATCTGGCCATAAAACGGCTTAGCTTGTTTTCGCTGAAACGGCAAACATGATAGACAACCAAACAGCAATCAACACATGCAATGGCAAGCCGTGGATGCTGGTGGGTTTCGGGAACAGCTTGAAGCTCGAGCCCGCGACGTCGAGTTCACGAGAACTCCCGATGGCGATTGTGAGCGGATCGAGCAACTACTCGTCGACTCAGCGGCCAGGGCACGAATCGAGCGGGAGCCAGCCCAGACGCAACGAGATGATGACACATTGTTTCGAAGACTGCTGGCGCAAAGGAAACCATTGCAGGGCGCCGACGGAATCTCTTATTTGACCTTCGCGACACTTTCATTTCGACAACCGCCCCCCGCCAAAAGCCTGGACACACATCTGTTGCGAGACTTTTGCGCGTGCCTGGAGACGCCGCCGATGCCATTCAACTGCCGCTTATTTGCGATTGCCCCCGTGCCGTGCAAGCTGTTTACCAAGTTGCTGTATAGAAGGTTGCATCCCATGTTGGGTAGGTATCAGACGATCGATTAGGTGGGCTTCCGCCAAGACCTCAGCACTGCGCATCGTCGCTTCGCCTTGGCCCAGTTACTGGAGAAACTCCAGGAGTGGCACAATAACGTTTGGATTGCTGCCATCGATTTCCAGAAAGCTTTCGGTTGCGCGGGGCATTGGAGCATGGACCGCGGTGAGAAGACAAACGTTCCCTGCTGGATGCTTTCAGTTACTTCGGGGGCGGTACATTGGGCAGTCGGCCCAGGTGGTCACCGATCGATTTGACAAAACATGCAATGGCCGATGCGGCACCATAATGGCGATCTGCTGAGTGCACCTTTGTTCAATGCGCTCAGTGAAGATGTGATGTCCGGCGTGAAAGCGGAAAGATTGCGATTGAGGTTGGGGAGTACAAGTTGGTTTTGCACATTTGCGGCAGATGACTCATCTACGCAAGGCTGATGACGCATCACTCGTAGCAACAACCCCCAGACAATTGAAAACAATGCTGGCCGATATCAGGAGAACGGTGGCAAAGTTGGGATTGGAGTTGCATCCAGATACGACGAGTATACTGAACAGGGCGACGCGGGGCGCCGACCGTCCGAGACATGCGCGCACCGCTGTGGGCGACGTGAAGATTGAGATCGGTGCCTCTACGACGTGATGAGCTGACACCCGTTGAACTCGCGCCTCCAGTTGTTCGACAACATCGCGTCTGCGACGATGTCACGCGTGGCGGCCGCGTGGGCGTCGTCCAAAGAGCTGGAGGGCAAAGTGGGAAATGCGCCGTGTGATAATGCGTTGCAACAAGAGTGTTGTTGATTCAAGCTCACGCAATGTCAGTTCGTCCAACTTTTCTTCTGCCTCTGCGTCATCGCGCGCGACTGGGTTGCCGAACGCCGCAAAGCGGCAGCTCACCAGCTTGGGCGCGTGCGTGCGGTGAGCGGATTATGGGCGCGCAGAGTTTTCATTTGGGTTGGTAAGCGCCGCGTTCGGCGACAAGGTGGGCAATTCATGCGTTGGTTGGAGACGACCGCGGGCTTCCATGACTGAAAGCGCCGAGGCGCTTCCGCGCCGCCCTGCCAGCTCGCTGGGCGAGGTCGGGCGCGGGTTTGCGCTCTTCTCCCCCTCGTCGTGGCTTGGGCCCCGCGGCCGCGTCTGTCTCTTCAGTGATGGCCGCTCAGCCGTGGCAGGGAAAGGGTGGGAGTAGTCTCTGGCGGGGCTCCCCGGAAGGGGGCCGCGAAACGCGTGATGGGGCGTGCCGGCGTGTGCGGTGGGGTCGCGTACGAGAGCACCCGTGCGGGCTTTGGGTGGCACGCTCTATTGGGCGACGAAGCGTGTGAGGGGTGTGCCGAAATATGTGGTGGGGACGAGTGTAAACGCAGCCACTAGGGCCTTGGGTGGAGCTCCCAGTGGAGCCGCGAATCGAGTGAGGGGCGTGCGGAAGTTAGCGACGGGGGCGCGCGTGGACGCAGCCGCTGGGGCCTTCGGCGGAGCTTGCCCTGGGGCCAAGACACGTGCATCTCTTGCCTCGGCGGACCAGCGATTAGGGACCCCAGCGGACCCGTCAGACGCGCATGCGTTCGTCTATCCCCCTCCGGCCTGCCCTTGCCCGCTCCAGCCGCAACCAGGCCGCGCTTCCTTTTGCAGAGATAGGCTCGTCAAGACAAGGGTCGGAAGTGTGTCCTATTTTTTGTTCAAGACGCTGTGCGTTCACCGCCAGACCATGGGCCCAAGACGGGGCTGAGGCCGCCCAGGCGGGCTCTGGACGGCGCAAGCGCGAGCACCCCCACGGCGGGTCCTCGTTTTCCTTTGTGGCCCTAGTTGGGCCCAGACTCGTTCAAACATGAATCCGAAGCTCCCAGGATTGGCGACGAAATTCGTTTGTTGTTCAAGCCGGTTGGTAGTTACAAATGGCTTTTGGGGTGACTGACCCCAGCGAGGCGAAAATCATCAAACACCTATTCATTGTGCCATATGTTTGGAGCTTCCAGTTTGTGCGAGCAGTTGGGCCCCGCGCTCTGGAGGGCCCCAGGAGCTGGCTGGAGGCCCAGATAAAAGGGGCCCCGAAGGGGCCGAAATGGAGCCCCGAAAGCGTCGCCAGAAGGATTTGAAAGTCGAGCTCGTTTTGGAAGCAGTCTTGAAGCCGTCGCGAGGCTCGAAAAAGGGTCGATGGCACAGCGGGGCGGCGGAATGGCGGAGGCATTTGAAGCAGGAAAAAGGGGCGCTAAAACCGTGCAAGAGTTTTCAGGGTTGAATCTCACTCCCTCAGCCCGGCGCACTCAAGACAAGGGTCGCACGTGTGTCGTATTTTGTTCAAGTGGCTTACGCCATTCCGCCGACCCCCCATGTTGGAGGTTTCTTAGGGGCATCGGGGGGGCATGCCGGGGTTTCTTGAGGGCCCCATGGGAGCTTCTTGGCAGTCTCATGGAGGCCTCATCGGGCCTCTTGGGGGCGCCTTGGGGGCCTCTGGGGACCTCTTGGGACCATCCTGGGGGGAGGGGGTGCTTGAAGTGTCGGTTCGCATTTCTCCTCCTGGGCCTCTCTTGGGGCCCTCTGGGCGCTCTTCTGGGCCATCGCACCTGCGTCCAACCGTAGAGCCAAGACGCTGGAACAAGAACCACTTCGGGCCCAGCAGGGGCTCCAGTTTTCGGGCCGCTCCTTTGAGTTAGGTCGTGGGGCCCATTCGTCGCCGAGGCCCGCCGTTGAGAAGACCCCTTCGTTCCTTCTTCAGCGCTCCTCGTGGTGGCACGACGGCCGTGCCTTCTCTGGCCCGCCCCTTGGCCCGCCGCAGGAGCAGAGGGAGGAGATGGCGGCGGCCAAGGAGGCGGACGAGACCTTCCTGGCGCAGATGCGGGACGCCGGGCCGCGCCGCGGCGCCCTCGCCTCGCGTTCGCCGCGGGGGCGCTCGCTCGCCGCGGGAGCAGGAGCAAGAGGAGGAGGAGGAGGAGGAGGAGGAGGAGGAGGAGGAGGAGGAGGAGGAGGAGGAGGAGGAGGAGGAGAGGAGGAGGAGGAGAGGAGGGGAGAAGGGGAGGGGGATGATGATGATGATGATGAGAGGAGGAGGATGAGGAGGAGGAGGGGGAGGGAGGACAATGCAGTCGTTTTCTTTTGGAATCATCGCTGAAGGGAGCGTGAGGTGGAAATGGAGGCGGAGGAAGCGAAGGAGGCGGAGTAAGCGAAGGAGGAGGAGGAGGAGGAGGAGGAGGAGGAGGAGGAGGAGGAGGAGGAGGAGGGGGAGATGGAGGCGGAGGAAATGGAGGAGGAAGAAGAGGAGGTGGAGGAGGAGAAGAAGGAGGCGCAGGAGGAGGAGGAGGAAGAGGAGGAGGAGGAGGAGGAGGAGGTGCAGAAGCAGGAGGAGGAGGAGCAGGAGTGGGAGGATGAGTAGGAGGAGCAAGAGGAGGAGGACCAGTGTAAACCCAAGACCCATCAACGATATTGCAGTAAACCCTCCCTCGAAGTTCCCTCCTCATAGGCCCCTACAAGGTTTCATGATCATTGAGGGAAGTGCCCCGTCGGAAGACAACCGTTTGAGCATCTGGAACTGTGCCAGAACGCGATTCCTGGGACTTCAACGGCGCGAATCACCGTTACTCCTGCGTCTAGACGATCCTGTATCGTGGCAAAGCACCATTCCTGGAATTTCAACACCGCGAACCAACGTGACTGCTGCGCCCTGGTATTCCGACATCATGCCAAAACACCTCTCCTGGGACGTTAACCATGCGAATCCTTGAAATTGTTGCAAATGTTTACGACGAATGTGCGCGGCGCTAAGGCGAGAGCCACATTTTGAAAAGGAGCTGCCCTCCATCCGTGAAGCTCGTTCACAATTTGAAAGCGGCCCGCGCTCCAATCCGAAAACTCTTGCACATGTTTAAGATGAATGCGCGCGGCGCTAAGGCGAACATAGAATCTTCAATCGTCCCAAAACGCAGTTCTTGGGATTTCAGCGCCGCGAATCGTCGTGACAGCTGCGTCCTGAACCGTTTCTGGGACTTCAGCCCTAGGAATCTTTCAAACAAGTTGCACAGTTCTAAGAAGAATGTGCGCGGCGCTGAGGCGAGAGCCACAGTTTGAAAAGGTACCACACCCGATTCTTGAACCTGTTGCAAACTTCCAAGGCGAATGAACGCGGCGTTAAGGCGCACACCTCATTTTGGAAACGGTCCGTCCTCCATCCTGAAAGCTGCTCCAGATATTGAAGACGACTGTGCACGGCGTGAAAGCGAGACCCGGATGTGGAAAACGACACGCCTTTCATCATTGAAGCTGTTGCAAAGTTCAAGCTTTATACTCATGAACGAGTCTTGGGCGAAACGCTCGGCCCGCCTTACTTACCGACACGCCTGGGGGTGCGACAGGGAGGATATTATACATATATATATATAAAAGATGTACATATATATACATATACATACATACATACATACATACATACATACGTACATACGTACATACGTACATACGTACATACGTACATACGTACATACATACATACATACATACATACATACATACATACACACATACATACATACATACATACATACATACATACATACATGCATACACACATACATACATACATACATACACACATACATACATACATACATACATACATACATACATACATACAGACAGACAGACAGACAGACAGACAGACAGACAGACAGACAGACAGGCAGACATCAGACATACATACATACATACATACAAACATACATACATACATGCATGCATGCATGCATACAACATACATACATACATGCACACATACATACATACATACATACATACATACATGCATGCATGCATACATACAAACATACATCCATCCATACATACATACATACACACATACATATATATATATATAATATATATATTGATGGCTAGCGATGGAGGAGGGGAGGAGGAGGAGAGGAGGAGGAGGAGGAGGAGGAGGAAGAGGAGGGGGAGGGGGAGGGGGAGGGGGAGGAGGAGGGTGGGTGGGTGAAGGGGAGCGGGGGGTACGGCGAGCTAAGGGGAGCAGGAGCCTGAACGAGGGGCTAAAGGAGCACGGCGAGCAAGGAGAGCAGGAGCCCTTCCCCCAGGGTGTCCTGGACCTTGCCTCGGGGTGCGGTAGAGCCATGCCGGGCCGATATCGAAGGAGCTGCGCCATCGGAAGGTCGCGATCGCTTAGGGCTGAGCGACCCAGGCGGCGTCAAGAACCAACGCGCAGGTCGCCACGCCAGAACCTGGTCGTACTTCTTCCCCCCCCCAGACGCCCGTGCGTCGCGAGCATAATCGCGACGGGCGTGTGCTCATCCCACCGCAATTCGCCCTCCCCTCCTCCTCCATAGCCTCCCATTCGCCACCATGGTCCACCCCGCCCTCCTGATAATTGCACCTCCCTCCTCGTCCCTCCTCGCTGCTCTTTCTCCGCTCCCCGATCCATCGTTTTCCTTCTTCCCCATCCTCTTCTCCACCTCCGCATCTGAGACCATATTCCTTTTCCTTCCCCCGCTTCCCCCTCCTCCATATCTGTCATTCCGTCTTCGCCTCATCTGTATTACTTCCCTCTTCCTACCGTACCTGGACAGTAATTTCGAGCCCTGTGGCGAAAGATACCCCCACCCCCGGACCGCCAATTTTAAGATTGAGGGTGCGGCAACGGAGAGGGCACGGGTGGACAGAACTATCCGAACCCCCCAACCACCATACCTACGCTAGAATCAACATGGATTTCGGGGGCGGGGGTTCGAAGGTCCGAGTCTTTTGTCCATGTACTGTACTTCTCTGCCTGTATTCCTCCTTCCTCCCTTTTCTCAGTCCATCGGTTGCCCCCCGCCTTCCCCTTCTCCTCGCCATCGTCCGCCCTCCCCTTCTGGATTCCTGCACAGCCTCCGCAGGAGGGCTGCCAGAAGGAGGACGAGGAGTACAAGAAGCGCTTCGCCGTGCGCAGCGAGGATTCAGAGCAACGCCGGTGTACCTCTCCCCTCGTTGGATTCAGGAGGATGACAGGGAGGGCAGGAAGAAGGGAAGGAGGAGGGAAGAGGTGGGAGGGGGGATTCAAGAGTATACGATTTTACCAGGATGCTCTGTGCTGGGGGTTTCGAGCGATCGCCATTAATGGAGGATGACGATTAATGAATGACCGCGGGTCGTGTCCACGCGGCGGCGCCTGGGATGACGATTAGAAAAAACCGGCCGCGGGCTGGAAAACTAGTTTTCAATCGTTCTCTTCCAGTCAGAAAATTATGCAGAAATAGCAGAAAACTATTTTTTGAATCGTTCTCTCCCATTTGTTTATTAATCGTCATCCCGCATTAGGGTTCTCATCCCTCCCTCCTCCTCCTCCTCCTCCTCCTCCTCCTCCTCCTCCTCCTCCTCCTCCTCCTCCTCCTCCTCTTCCTCGTCCTTCCCAACTCCACCTGTGTCTTCCCACGCCCACGGTGAATAATCCCCGACCCCTGCCTTTTGGAAACGACTATTGTGGGCCATCTTGCGGGGGAGGGCTCCTGGAGCTCAATCGAGTCCCCCGTCTTGGGCCTATAGAGTGGGCCTGTGGGGCTGCTTTGGAGGAGTCCTGGGCTGTCTTGGGGCCTTGTTGGTCTGTCTCCAGACTCTCTTCGAGGCTTGTTGGGCCGTTTGAGCTGGTCCAGCGGGCCTCTGAGGCCGTCCGCCAGCTCCCGCAGGCCCGACAATGCGAGAACGCGACCGTGTGTCAAACACCAGGAGAGAGACCCATCTCTGGATCCGTGAGTGGTCCTCTCGGAGCCGTCCTCGGGCGTGTAAGCATCCACCTCCCTCTCTTCCCGCCGTTCCAAGATGCCCCCCAAGACAGCCCAGTGGAACCCAAGACAGTCCCAGAGGGCCGCAGGACCACGGAAGAAGTCCCCAAGGCGACCCGAAAACCGCTCGGATACACGTCCAATGCAAGCCCAGCGGCCCTCAAGCCGGTTCCAAAACGGCCTCACGGGGCACCCAAGACAATTTTCGTGGGCGACCCCACGAGAGAACATGTATGCAGACAGAGAAAGTAGAGAGGCAGATAGAAAGGAGAGCGAGAGAGAGAGAGAGAACAAAAAACGAGGGATAGAGAGATATAGAGGGAGTTTGGGTGAGCGAGAGAGGGAGAGAGAGAGAGAGAGAGAGAGAGAGAGGGAGAGAAAGAGAGAGAGAGAGAGAAACCAGACCAACACACGAACCAAACACAGCAAACACATAGACGGAGGGACAGGGAGAAATCGAGAAGCAGAGAGGGGGAATTATAACACTATATATATGTATATAGATGTAAACAAAGGTCGCAACACACACACACACATATATATATATATACACATGAGAGAGAGTGAGTGGGTGAGTGATATATATATATACATGTATATAAGTACACAGAGAGTTGAATAAAGAGACAGTGAGAGAGAGAGAGAGAGAGGGAGAGAGAAACTTGGGAGAGATGAAGGAGGGTGCAAGGATGAGGGATCCAGGGGTGGGGCAGGAGGAGGAGGAGGAGAATCATGAGGGGGCGGCGGACGTGGAGAAGGGTGGAGGGAGATGCGTTGAGAGGGATGCTCCAGTGGTGCACTTTTTTCGCGCCCCGTCGAGGAGCTCCGGGCCCTGTCCGAGGCCCTGAAGATCCTCACCGAGGAGGAAGCCCGCGCCACGTTCTCCAGGCCCGCGCCCTTGGAAGCCCCCTGCACCGGGGCTCAGCAATTGCCTGCGCCACGTTCTCTATGCCCGCGGCTTTGGAAGCCCCTTCCCCCCAAGGACAAGTCTTTGCAACGATGGCGACTGCTTCAACTACAAACTGCTACGGCTCAACAGTGAGCCGCCGCATAACCAGTCAGGGGGATCGTGTGCTCAGTCCTATGACGCAGCAGTGAGCCCTTGCACACTGACTGCTACGGGACACGAGTGGCAGAATTGAAGAGAACCACCCCAGGGGAGGGCCAAAATCCACTCCAGGGCTAGGCAGTCCACTCGGACACTCTTGGAGGCCCCCTGACCTCAACATTACCGCGCGGGCGGGCTACTCAGGGCAAAGAAGCCAGCCAGACCGACGCTCCAGAGGCAGAAAAGCTGCCAAGCTCGCCCAGAATGGGCGATCGCTCTCTCTGGTCTCGCAAGGACTGTCTGGCTGCTTTGGGGTCCCACTGGCCTTCGGCTTGGTATCGCTCGGACGTGTGCATTTTTTCTCGGCAAGGAACATCGAGGAGCATTTTGGGCCATCTTGCGAAACAAATGCACGCACCAATCCGAAACATGCACGGGGAATGGACGTCCGAGTGATGGCGAGTCGGGGTTAGCCTGGATCGACCACGGCCCCAATCCCCTTTCGATCCCCTCTTTGTCGCAGGGAAAGGGGAGACCCAGACCTCCGACGTCTCGTGCTTCTTCAATCTCGCATGTTTTTCCCCAGACGTCCTGTGGTGTTGCGTCCTCGTTTTGAAGAGACGGTCCCCGCGTCTCCTCCTCTCTTCTTCTCCTCCTCCCCCTCCTCCCTCCTCCCGTCACCCCCTCCACTTTGGCACGCCCCTCACACGTTTCGTGGCCCCATAAAGGGGGCTTCACCGAAGGCCCCAGTGGCTGCGTTCACATGCCGCCCCCCTACACTGGCACGCCCCTCACACGCTTCGTGGCCCCATATAGGAGCTCCACCGAAGGTCCCAGAGGCTGCGTTCACATGCCGCCCCCCTCCACTTGGGCACACCCCTCACACGATTCGTCGTCGCCGCCCCCCCTCCACTTTGGCACACCCCTCACACGTTTCGTGGCCCCATATATGGGGCTCCACCGAAGGCCCCAGTGGCTGCGTTCGCATAACCCCCCCCCACTTTGGTACGCCCCTCACACGTTTCGTGGCCCTACAAAAGGGGGCTCCATCGAAGGCCCTGGTGGCTGCGTTCACAGGCCGCCCCCCCCCCTCCACTTTGGCCACACCCCTCACACATTACGTGGCCTCATAGGGAGCTCCACAAGAGGCCCCAGTGGCTGCGTTCGCATGCCGCCACCCCTCCACTTTGGCACGCCCCTCACGCGTTTCGTGGCCCCGTACGGGAGCTCCACCGAAGTCCCCAGTGGTTGCGTGCGCATGCCGCCCCCCCCCTCCAATTTGGGACACCCCTCACACGTTTCGTGGCCCGATATGGGTGCTCCACCGAAGGCCCCAGTGGCTGCGTTCGCATGCCGCCACCCTCCACTTTGGCGCCCCTCACACGTTTCGTGGCCTCATCGGGAGCTCCACCGAAGGCCCCAGTGGCTGCGTTCGCATGCCGCCACCCCTCCATTTTGGCACTCCCCTCACACGTTTCGTGGCCCCGTACGGGGGTTCCGCCGAAAACCTCAGTGGCATGGTTCGCTTGCATTCCCCCCACCCAGTACAGCGCTTCGTGGCCCAGGATCGGCCCAATCTATAGCAACAGACGTACATAAAACATTGCGGATTGGAGTCGCAGGAGAAGGGCACTCGATAGGAACAATGTACAACACCAAGGACTCCTGCCCCAGGAGAGGCCCAAAATATATGAACATAAGTACATCACTTACGTACGACATCAAGGACGCGTGCTCCAGGTGAGGCCCACTACATAGGAATACACGTAAACGACATGGGATTGGAGCCACTCCTGTTGCTTTCTGAGGCCTCCTGCTCCTGGGGCCTATCGGGGCTTCCTACCTTCCGAGGCCTCCTGGCGCTTCCTGTGGCCCTGGTCTCCTGCCGCCTGGGGCTTCCCGGGGCCTCCTGGAGCCTCTTGGGACATCCTGTGGCCTCTTGAGTCGTTCTGCGGCCTCCTGATGCCTCCTGGGACCTCATGTGGCCTGGGGCATCCTGGAGCCTGTTGGAGCCTCCTGTGGCATCCTGAGGAGAATCTGTGCCCACGAGTCTGGCCGCCAAAACATGCTAAATCTGGCCCTCCTGGGGGTTGAGCATGATCGCCTCGCTCGAGACATCCTCCAAGTCTGCTCCGAAAGCGAAGGATGCTGAGACAGAAAACAGGCAAACCGCCTGAGACATCCCCACACAATTGCTGCGAACGGGACCGTGAAAACACCCCTGGCGGCTCCCCTGGGAGGTGCTGACACCATTGCCCCGCCTGAGACATCCTCAGGCTCTGCTCTGATAGCCAAGGATGTTGACGCAGAAATCAGGCACACCGCTTGAGACATCCCCACAACATTGCTGCGACGGGGACCGTGAAAACACCCCTGGCGGCTCCCCTTGGGGGTGCCGAAACCAGCGCCCCGCTTGAGACATCCTCAGAATCTGTTCTGATAGCCAAGGATGTTGACGCAGAAATCAGGCACACCGCTTGAGACGTCCCAACAACATTGTTGCGAACGGGACCGTGAACACACCCCTGGCGGCTCCCCTTGGGGGTGCTGAAACCAGCGCCCCGCCTGAGACATCGTCAACATCTGCTCTGGTAACCAAGGAGGTTGAGGCAGAAAATAGGCAAACCGCTTGAGACATTCCCAGACCATTGCTGCGAACGAGAACGTGAAAACACCCCTGGCGGCTCCCCTTGGAGGTGCTGAAACCATCGCCCCGCCTGAGACATCCTGACAAACTGCTGTGTGTTGAGTAAGTCAGACAATGAGAAGGTCCGAGTATGAGTAGGTCTGAGTAGGTGTAAGTCTGTGTATGAGTACGTCTGGGAACGCTTCTGAGTCTGAGTAAGTCTGGGCATGAGCGAGTCTCAGCATGAGTAAGTCCGAGTATGAGTGAGTCTGAGTATGAGTAGGTCTGAGTATTAGTAAGGCTGTGTATGAGTAAGTCTGGGTATGAGTATATCTGCGCAGGAGTAAGTCCAAGTGGGAGGAAACGAGCTGTACCGCAAATAATGTACGCGAGTACGAGTGGGAGTGGGTATGACTATGACTGGGTATGGATTTGAGTGGGTGTGAGCTTACTGTGTCATGAAGAAGTCTGAGTATGGACTAGGTCTGGGTATGAATCAGTCTGTGTATGAGTAAGTCTGGGTATGAGGAGGATGGGGAGGAGGAGAAGAAGAGGAGGAAGGCGTAGGAGGCGTCCAGGTAATAACAATAACCCCATCTTAGGACATGGGGGAAACAGATAATCTACGCGCCGCAATCTTGCGAGGCGGCGACGGAGCGGCGACCTCGGCAACGTAGCCGTCAGACCGACGCGCAACCCCAGACGTTTGGCGGCGACGGGGCGGCGACGGGGCGGCGACGGCGCCAACATAGCCGTCAGACCGACGCGCAGCCCTTAACGTCGGGCGGCGACGAGGCGGCGACGGGGCGGCGACGGCGGCAACATGGCCGTCAGACCGACGCACAGCTCCAGACGTCGGGCGGCGACGGGGCGGCGACGGCGGCAACATGGCCGCCAGACTGATGCACAGGCCCGGTTCCTTAGCTCAGATCAGAAGTATGAACTCCCAAGTGCAAGCACGGCTTGGGGAATATTGATCATATAGTTGTTATTCAAAGCTTTGACAGCCACCTTTGTGATTTTCACTTTTGGATTTTCACTTTTGGAATGCGTAGCACATCTAAATGTCCTATGAAAGCGTTTTCGTGTACACCCCAGCCTGGCACCTTGCAACCACGTGAGGTCCCTGTCGATTTAGGTTCGCGCGACACTGGCTTACCCGATCCATTCCGCCAGGGTTTGCTTGGCCATAAACGTCCCTCAAATTCAGAACTCGCGATCTCGAGAGGGGGTGCTGGGAAGCTGGGTGCAAATGACGCGGTCGGACTGGGCGAGAGCCGATGCGGACGTGGCCGCATCTTTTTCCAGCGCTCCGTGCACTGGTGGACGTGTGCGCCCGCGCTCCAGCGGGTGACATCCGCATGGAGAGCTGGGCCATACTGCGCGTTATGCCCCTCCCCTTCCCCCTCCTTTCCCCCCCCTCCCCCCCTATAACGTGACGCTCTCCCCCCGTCCAGTGCGTCCCCAGCACTGCCGAAGTGCGTCTGTCACCACAGTCTGTCACGGGTGGGGGCGGGGGCATTACGTTATGCTTCCTCCCAGCCCCCCCACCTTCTTTCTCGCCCCACCATAACGCCCGTTATCGCCGCGAATGTCAAATGCTCTCCAGGTGACATCCGCATGCTCCCCACGCGAATCCAGCCGTGCGTCGAACGGGGTTGGGACAAGGCTGAATGCGTTCCAGGGCGTTCCGGAGCGCTCCCAGAGCGCTGCGGACCGCTCCGAAAAGGCCGCGGCGCCCGATACATCCTCCAGAGCCGCCGGCTCTCAGAGATTCTCGATTTGTACTGGTCCGATTCTGTCTCGATGTTGCCTTCGTCTCAATCCGCACCGTCCGTGCGGTGTGGTCGGATGAAAATGTGGAGGAGGAGGAGGAGGAGGAGGAGGAGGAGGAGGAGCAGGAGGAGGAGGAGGAGGAGGAGGCGGAGGCTGAGGAGGAGGAGGAGGAGGAGGAGGAGGAGGAGGAGGAGGAGGAGGCGGAGGCGGAGTCTGGTCGGTCGCGGTCTGGTCGGAGTCCAGCCGTGCGGGCTGGTCGCAGTCGCGCGCGCCTGGCCGGCCGGCCAGGTCCACGCTGAGCCTGCTGCAGGAGACGGCCGAGAGGAGCAGCCGCCGGGCCGCCTCGTCCGCGCAGGAGCTCGCGTCCCAGCGCGCGATGGAGCGGATTGCGAAGGCGCGTCCGTCGGGGGCAGAAGCACACTGACCGTGGCCAAGGCAATCAGCGCGGAGTCTTGTCGACGCCGATCTTGGGCAGGGTCTATGCGGGCGTCGCCGGTTGCGCGAGGATCATCCACGGATGGGCGCTGGCCGAGGTGGACGGTGGCCGAGAGCGGCACGACGTTTCCGCGCTCAGTCTTGCGCCTGGTTCCCGTTTTTTGTTGTTGTCCCCTCCGCGTCCGGGCGGGGCTCCCCCCGTGGATGTCAGGGCCCTCTGCATCAGGACAGTGCTAGCCAGGACACTTAGTGAACAGTCCACCTGGAGGGCGGAGAATGGCTGGTCCCACGGCTACAGTTTTCCCGGGCGCGCCTATGTCCCAGTTAGAGGTGTCCCCGTTGAGGGCCTAGGGGGCCCTGGGGATGGGTACCCCCCGCCATGGTCAGGGCGGCTGTGCGAGGGCGGGGAGCTGGGAGCGAAGGAGCAGATGGGGCAATTGTCAGAAGGAAGAGGCGAGTGGTAATTAGCGGGAGGAGGAGAAGCAGGAGGAGGAGGGGGAAGAGGAGGGGGAGGAGGAGGAAGAGGAGGAGGAGGAGGAGGAGGAGGAGGAAGAAGAACCCCACGATCATCCAATCCAGGTCCGTGCAACGTCAAAAAGGAGGAGGAGGAGCAGGAGGAGGAGGAGAAGGACCACTGTTAATCCAAGGCTCTCGGGGGCCGCGCCTCCAACAGCAGGTCGTGCCGCCGGGTCCGGGGTGGGGCCGCGCCTGCTCGCGCACGCACTCTTGACCACCTGTGCCACGAGAGGGGAGGACGGACGGCGAGTATTAGCGGGGGCCCATGCCAAGAAACACCCTGCTCGCCTCCAGGGTGCCCTGGGTTTCTTGGGTTTCGGTGGCTTTGCCGTGGAGAACGCGACGCTCCCACACCAGAAGCCCATGGACGTCCCGGGTTCTCAGGGTTGGGTTTCTTGTGGAAGGGTTCTTGTGGAATGGCCTCCACTGTAGGAGACATCTGGGGCGTTCCAAGAAGGGGCTTGCCTTCGAGTCTCGAAGGAACTGTCATCTCCTCATCGGCGCAAGGTCGGCGGAAGCAAAACGAGGGCGGCTCCGCAGGCGGAAGGGTGGCGGAAGGCGGCGGAAGTCAAAGATGCGCCCCCAAGAAACGAACACGTGTTTGGGTTCAGGCTGTCCGAAATCGCCCACATGGTCGGGGACTCGCAAGCATGGATTGAGGCGCGCGGACTTGCAACGGGTCCCTACGGAACCGGGACGCTCCATCGCCGAACCAGGCGCCGATTGCCTCACGGTTCGGGGGGGCCTTCCTCGACGCGTGAGTCTGGCGCCAGCGCGCCAGATCCACGGATCCCTGATCCACGTCAGCTTGTGCCCAAGATGAGGTGGAGGAGGAGCGGAGATATAAGAGTCGACAGGCCAGAAACGAAATGAAGTCCCTTTCTCGGAGGTCCGTGCGGGTTTCCTGGATCGGCGTTGGGCCCCCGCTGGCGGCGACTTCTGCGCTGCCCCTGGCGCGCTCCGCGCGGACCTCCCATACACTTTGCTTATGCCGCTCTGTTTTCCGCTAGAGTTAAGTCGGGCGTGTCCCTCTACAGGAGGAATGTTCAAAAAGAGTAATAAATTAGTCTGGGAACGATTCTCCGATTACGTTTTGACTATTTGTCGCTTGTGTTGTTTATCGCAATTTGTTTTTTTCGTCCCAGATCCCCGTGTAGGAGGACATGCCCGACCTACGTAGCTAGAGAGGGAGGAGGAAGGAGAAAGGAGCAAAGCGGAAGCAGGGGCCTACCACCTGCCGGCCATTCCTCCGAAGTTCGCCAGGTGAGGGCACTGTTTCTTGAGCGATGACCTCAAGCCTATTTGCTATGGGTCCTGCACGGAGTGCAGCGAAGGCTGCGTGGACAGTATGTGGTCAAGCCAACTCTTTCTCTAGAGCTTGTGCTGTCGACGACGACCCCCTCCGTTCTGAGATGTTATTGGGGGCATGTCATGTGCCTCCACTTTGACTCACATCATCGTCTTCTGGTGTGTCTCGCCTGCTTGGATCATTGCGTTGGGGAGTTTCCCCGGCTACTGCTATATTCTGGACATGACCAATTGTCGCGGGCCGTCCCCCCCTCTTCTCCCCCTTGGCTTCGTAGTTGGCTCTTCCGTCGGATCCGTCGATGAGATCTTCGGTTGGTCTCTTGCTTTGGGCCCCCACGGGGCACCTGCGCTGGCCTCTGCCAAGGGGGCTCGTTTCTGGAGCCGGGGGGTGGAGGAGGAAGAGGAGGCGCCCTTCCAAACTTACTGGTGAGATGTCAGGTCTCATGCGCGCCACGTCGCGGCTGCCACCTCGAGAGCGAGTACGTCTGTGTGTGGTGACCCTTCTGCGTGCTGCGCATGTGTCGGCAGCCCGGCGCCAGGTGGCCAGGGCCCACAAGAATTGGGCGATGCTGTCGCTCGCCGTCCGCGTGCGGCTGGACTCTTTCACGAAGGTGATCGAGATGATGGACAAGATGACCGCGGAGCTCAAGAAGCAGCAGCAGGAAGAGTACGAGAAGCACGAGTTCTGCAAGAAGGAGCCCAAGCGGAGGAACACGCGCAGCGCTGCAGCTTCCCTCCCCTCGTCGCCGACGCTGGATTCGCCTCGGAATCTCTTCCTCCTCCTTCGCGTCCTCCCCTCCCCCCTCCCTCCTCCCTCCTCCCCGTCCTCGTCCTCCTCGTCGTCCTTCCGTGCGCTCTCGGAGCCCTGCGCGGGTGTTTTCTTTGGCCGTCGCCGGGCCCCCCCCCTGTCGGCCTGGTCGGCAGGCGCCCCGGGAGAGATCGGGGGAGTAACTGGCGGCACCCAGCGGAGCAAATAGGGGAGTAAGTTGCCCCCCCCCCCCCCAAAAAAAAGAGAAAGTATCCCAGTGCGACCCTACCTATTGGAGCATCTAGGAAAGCAAGATCTACATCTACACCGACAGCTACATTAACATCTACACCTGCATCTACATCTACGTCATCATCAACAGCGAGACTCACATCTACATCTACACCTACATCTACACCTACACCTACATCTACATCTACATCTACATCTACACCTACATCCACATCTACACCTACACCTACATCTATATCTACATCTACACTTTCGCATTTGTTTGTTTTTGCTTTGCATTGCCTTGCCTTTGCTTTTGCTATGTTATGCATATGCCTTGCCTTTGCTTTGCCTTTGCTTTGCATTGCCTATGCTGCGCTATGCTGCGCTACGCTACGCTATGCTATGCTATGCTATGATATGCTATGATGCACTATGCTATGCTATGCTAGGCTATGTTTTGATATGCTATGCTGCGCTATGCTATGATATGATATACTATGCTATGCTGCGCTATGCTATGATATGCTGCGCTATGCTATGATATGTTATGCTATGCTGCGCTATGCTAGGCTATGCTATGCTATGCTGCGATGTGCTATGCTGCGCTATGCTATGATATGATATGCTACGCTATGATATGCTATGCTATGCGATGCTGCGCGATGCTATGCTGCGCTAAGCTATGCTCTGCTATGATATGCTATGGTCTGCTATGATATGCTAATGCTGCACTAAGCTAAGCTGAACTAAAGCTAAGCTAAGCTAAGCTAAGCTAGGCTAGGCTAGGCAAAGCTAAGCTAAGCTAAGCTAAGCTAGGCTAGGCTAGGCTAGGCTAGGCTAAGCCAAGCTCAGCTAAGCTAAGCTAAGCTAAGCTAAGCTAGGCTAAGCTAAGATGATATAAGCAACGCTAAGCTAAGGGGACGTAGCTGGGGGAACCGCGGGGCGGATCCTGGGGGAACCGCCTGGGGCGATTTCCACTGCCCAGCCCCTTTATGATAGAGGGTAAGAACCCTTCTAGGTAGAGCCTAGGTAGGGAATAATCCGTAAGAGCTTCGCCCCCTGCCGCCAACCTCCTCTCTCGGAGAATGGGCCACGGAAGAGCGAAGTCATGAGGCTTTGGCTTCGCCGTGAAGCAGTGTCGGGACCTGTTTGTTTTTCGACCCTGACCCTACGGATCTGCGTGAGGTGTGCCGCCGAATTTCAGAAATGTGGCAAATCCCTTGTGTCTTTTCGACCCTGACCCTACGGATCTGCGTGAGGGGTGCCGCCGAATTTCAGAAATGTTGCAAATCCTTTCTGTGTTTTTTTAACCCTGACCCTACAGATCTGCGTGAGAGGTGCCGCCGAATTTAAGACATGTGGCAAATCCTCCGTGTTTTTGGACCCTGACCCGGCCGATCTGCGTGAGGGGTGCCGCCGAATTTCAGAAATGTGGCAAATCCTTTTTGTTTTCGGACCCTGACCCCGCCGATCTGCGTGAGGGGTGCCGCCGAATTCCAGAAATGCGGCAAATCCCTTGTGTTTTTGGACCCTGACCCCGCCGATTTGCGTGAGGGGTGCAGCCGAATTTCAGACATGTGGCAAATCCTTTGTGTTTTCGAACCCTGACCCCGCCGATCTGCGTGAGGGGTGCCAGGAAATTTTTGAAAAGTGGCAAATCCCATGTGTTTTTAGACCCTGACCCCGCCGATCTGCGTGAGGGGTGTCAGGAGATTTCAGAAAAGTGGCAAATCCCTTATGTTTTTGACCCCGCCGATCTGCGTGAGGGGTGCCGCCGAATTTAAGACATGCTGCAAATCCTTTGTGTTCTTGGACCCTGACCCTACGGATCTGCGTGAGAGGTGCCACCGAATTGTTTTAGAAATGTGGCAACTCTGATGTGTTTTTGAGCCCCGACCCCGCCGATCTGCGTGAGGGGTGCAAATTTTCCCACCCCAGCAATTCACACAATACGATTTGGGCGTGGTAGAAATGCGCGTTTTGGGCCTCCCCGCCTCGCGCGGTCCATCAACAAGGAACAGTAAGCAGCAAGAAGTCCACAAGGAACAGTAAGCATCAAGAAGCAGAATTGTAACAGTGGAAACTGGAAGCTGCAACTGGTACAGGAAACTGCGAACCTCCGGCCTACAGCCTGGTGGCCCCACAAGGGGGCCGGCGGATCATACAGGCAAATAAAACAGCAGGTATCGTTTTTCGTCCCCCCCCGCCCCCCAAGGAGATCGACGAGACGGAGGACCTGATCAAGGTACACACGAACACCAAAGAGACGTTGGACGAGAGGCACTTGGCCCTCACGGACAAGCTTGCGTCTCTCGCCAAGGATAATCGGGCTCAAAAGAACCCCTAATCTTAACTCGGGCACGTCCCTCTACAGGAGGAATATCCAAGAATAGTAAAAATAGTCGGGGGACGAAGATTCGATGATTTTTGAACCATTTGGGAGCATGTATTGATTATTTTTAATTTTTCTTCCAAGCTCCGCCTGTAGGAGGACATGCCGGACCTAGCCCTAATCCTGATAACCCGATGAGGACGTGGCCTCACTGAGATCCCCGTCCTCGCATTAGGGATAACAGACCTGGGTGGTTTGGTCTCATACGTTTGCAGAAACGACCCCCATTCCCAATGTTGTTGGCCTTCCTGACTTAGGTCCCCTCCTAAAGAGTTAGGGGTTCTTTCTGGGTTAGTCAAAGGACATCGACACACTCAAGAAGGAGGTGGCCGACATGGAGGTGAGCTTGAAGGACGCTGGCGAGCAGCGCAAGGCCGAAAACGCGCTGTACCAGCAGTCGGTCATGGACCAGCGCGCCACGATCAACATTCTCAACAAGGCGCCACGCCAGTCATTACTCTGTCGTCGTCTTGCATCTTTCCCTTCAAGCTACTTGCGCCGAGTGTCTGCTAGTAAGCTTGCAATGCACTTGCCCCACATGTTTTGGCACAGCTGGCAGTCCATACATGAGGCCCGACAGTGCAATGTGCATCCCCCCCCGCCATTGGCAAAGGAGCAAGCTGAGTGTAGAGTTTTTCCGCCTCTTCCTCCCCTCTGTTCCTACGAACGCCTTCTCGTCCCCTCCCCTCCTCTTCCTGAGACCACAGAGGACCGTTGTTTATTGCTTCTGGACGACTCACATTATTGCGGACTGTATTGGTGCAGTTGTGTTCCCGCCTTCTTCGCATACTGTCTTTCAGACTGGATATCAAATGCTGCTCTGATTTGGGTTGATTGGAGCTCTTCCGGTTCCTCAGAAATGGCGTTACCGCTGCAGCACTGGTCACATATCAAGATCGGTACTTTGCGCCCGTTGTTCAGGATGGCGCTCTGGCCACAGCGCGGGCCACAATGCCAGGTCCGATTCGTTCATCGGCGTTGCTGTTCTCCTCTCGTTCCTCCCTCTCCTGCTCCTCCGTCTCGGCTTCCAGCCCAGCTCCTCATCCTTCTCCCTCATGGATCCTCTCCTCCGCCTCCTGCTCATCCGCCTCCTCGTGCTGGGCCCAGACCTGCACGCGCCTCTCTGTTCTCTCGTGTGCAGGAAGTGCGGGAAGTGGAGAGCGGTAACACTTCTCGGGCACTCTGTGTCTGGGCCACCGTGCCCAAGATAGGAATACATTGTTCTGTGGATCGAAATGGATACTCGGTGAACTGTGTGCGGGTAGGTCTGGCCAGCCGTGCCGCAGCGTCTCGCAGAACATGAAAGCACATGGCCGCTCGGCGGCGCAATCGGTCAGAACCAACTTTATATTGTTTTGATTTGAAAACTCATCGGGTTTGTGAAAGTGGTAGTCCGCTGGGTATTGTTTCTGCGCAGTTGCGCTGTGCGTGTCGTCTCACAGAAAACACTTATTTTTGTCGTGGTCTCAGCCACGGCATCGTGGACGGCGTCCGTTTATGAAGCCTGTTCGTTCGATGTCGTCAGATTGTCCCATGGCCCTGCCAGGGCGCTTACCGCGGGCCAGGCAAACTGCCTTCGGTATTGCGCGATCTGTCGTTGGCGCTGGGAGGGAATGCAAAAAACACACCATAGGCAATCTTACACCAGATGACATGAGGCCTGGATCGGTTGGCTGCTGCCGCGGTGGATGTTGGCAGTCGCTCGCAAGCACGCCACACAAGACATACTGTGATGGATGGCCCCATCGGCGGCTCCTGTGTTGCTGCAGGCCGCAGAGTGCAGTAAGATGCTCGACACTATGAGAGCGAGCTGCTAGAGCTCCGCCAAACACAACCCGGGTAACTTTAGCGAGCATTCTCTCGCATACAGCTGACTCGCTGCACGCCTCTGCACACGACGAAGCACTACATTGCGCATAGCATGTCTTCGGGCTTTCGGGCACCGCCGGGCTTTCCAAGGAAGCGTTCTGGCACGTACCCTCGGGCGGCTCAATCGGCCATCCCGGCAGGCCCTTTCGGGCTCCCAGGGGAAGCGTTGTGGCAGGCATATCTTCGGGCAGCCCGGGCAAACCAGGGGGACAGCTCCTGGCAGGCATGCTCGGGCGCCCCGGGGGCACGCCCTGGCAGGTGCCCTCTTGCGCTCCAAGTGGGCGTCCTGGCAGGTGCCGTCGAGCGAAGGCGGCAACCTGCAGGAACGAACATCTGCTGCGCGCGCGATTGCTTGAAAATGATGTCATCAATGAAGCTGCGGGGTTTCTCTGATGCCTCTGCCAGCGCGCGTTGGAAAACGTGCTCGCGCGTTCTCCAGGAGCCCGCCTCCTGCGCCTCCCCCCTTTTTCCGACTGCGCGCTCAGCAGACGTTGGCTCAAATCCTGCAACTGCCATCCCTCCCTCCTCCCCCTCCTCCTCCTCCTCCTCCTCCGCCTCCTTCACCTCCTCCTCCTCCTCCTCCTCCTCCTCCTCCTCCTCTTTCTCCTCCTCCTCCTTCTCCTCCTCCTCCTCCTCCTCCTCCTCCTCCCCCTCCTCCTCCTCCTCCTGGGCACCAGGGTCCTCCAGGACACCCCGGTCGGCGGATAGGAGGATATTCATCGCAGTGGGAGGGGCTGCGTGGGAGGGGTAGCTCGCAAGAGCCCCGTTCCCCCCTCCCCCCCCTCCCGCCAGCGACGACCGCGAGGCCTTAGATCGACTGAAGATGTTCTACTCGAAGGACGCGGCGGCCGAGCGCGCACGCATGCCGCCTCACATTCCTACTCGAGGGGAGTGGGACGGACGAAGGGAAATAGAGGTATGATTAGGAGGAGGAGGAGGAGGAGGAAGTGGAGGAGGAAGAGGAAGAGGAGGAGGAGTGGAGGAGGAGGAAGGGAGGAGGAAGGGAGGAGGAGAGGAGAAAAAAGAGGAGGAGGAGGAAAGGCGGAGGGAGGGAAGGTGAAGAACGAGGGGAGGATGAGGAGGGCGAGGATGAGAAGGCTGACGATGAGGAGGAGGAGAAGGAGGAGGATAAGGAAGAGGAGTAGCGAGGAGGAAGAGGAGGAGGAGGAGAACGGGGGGGAGGAGGAGGAGGAGGAGGAGGAGGAGGAGGAGGAGGAGGAGGAGGAGGAGGAGGAGGAGAAATGCCAGTGTAAACCCAACGAGCATCGACGATGTTGCAATCAACCCTTCTCCCAAGTCGTAGGCCCCTAGAAGAAATTCCTGTTATTGGAAGACAACCACATGAGAATCCTCAATCGTGGCAGAACGCTGTTCCCGGGACTCCAACACTGCGAATCAGCGTGAATGTTGCGTCCTGACAGTCCTAAATCGTACACCGGGGCGCCATTCCTGGCACTTCAACGCTGCGAGTGAACGTGACTGTTACATCCTGGCAATCCTGAATCGTGCCAGAGCACCATTCCTGGGCCTCAGCCATTCGAATATTGGGATCTGCTGCAAGGTTTGGAACGAATGTGCGCGGCGCTAAGGCGAGGGCCACATTCAAACAAGAAGCCGCCCCCCATCCTTCAAGCTGTTGCAAATTCTTTAAAAGAGTATGCGCAGCGGTCGGGCGAGAGCAACGTTTTGAAAACCGCTCGCCCTCCATCCTTGAAGCTGCTGCAAGTTTTGAAAACGAATGCACGCGGCGCCAAAGCGAGGGCCACGTTTTGAAAACAACCCGCCCTCCATCTTTAGAGGTGTTGCAAATTCCAAGTATCAGGATCATCGGTGGTGAAGTCGTATCAGGCGAAACGCCTCGTCCGCCCTAGCGACACGTCTGGGGGTGTGACAGTGAGGAGTTGTTTATGAAAAGCGGGGGTGGAGGAGAGGGAGGGAGGGGGGGTGACGACGGGGATGCGGAGAGGGGGGGTGCAGGAGGAGGAGGGGGACTGTTTTGATTAGAATGGCACCGTGATCTGTGCATGGCGGCTTTGGGCCAAAGTAAACTCCAGCGGGCCAGAACGTTCGCAGCCAAAGACAACGACACATTGGCCTGTTAAGGTATGAGCCGCTGGGGATGTTTTGAAATACTATGACACACCAGTCTGTACCATGAGAGTTGGAGAAGCACAAAATAGTTTAGAGGAAAACCACAAGCAGCGGGTTTCATAGTGTTCCGCTGGCCCCAAACATTGCCTCCGAAACCGCCTCCACTCATGGTGGCGGGACGTGTCGCAAGCTCCTGCGTGCTTTTTGCTATATGTTCTCCTCTCGCCCTTCTCTGCTTTGAGTGTATTTTCTATGTTCCCTACCACAGCGTTCTACTCTTTCTCTCTCTCTCTCTCTTACCCCTTCCCCTTCTTTTCTGCACATCTCTACGCACACTGTTCCTGTACACGTATACATGTATGCAGTCATGTTTGGAGGTATCACGTATATAGGTATGTGAGTATGGATAGGTCATGTATACATGTATACATATATACACATATGTATGCAGATCTATGTGCGGCTATCTGTATGCGTATATGCATAGGTATATGCATGTGTGCATGCATATATGTATGTGTGGATGTATGGGTCTGTGCATGTATGTATGCATGTATGTGTATGTCTTTATGTATGTGGATACGTATGTATATATGCATGCATGTATGTACGTACGTACGTCCGTATGTCTGTAAGGCAAAATGAGTGTATGCATGTGCGCATGCATGTATGTGTGTATGTGTGTACGTGTGGATGTAGGTGTGCTTATGAAATCATGCAGGTATGCATGCATGCATGCGTGCATGTATGTACTTATGTATGTGTGTGCGTGTGCGTATGTATGTATGTGTGTATGGTTGTTTCTATGTATATGGGTGTCGATGCAGGTATTTGCGTACGTATGTATGTAGGGGTGTCTGTATGTATACATGCATGTGTGGATCGATGCATTCATGCATGCGTGCGTACATGTATGCATGTATGTGTGTATGCATGTACGTGATGTATGCGTGGACGTGTGCACATATGTATATACATATATACATATGTAGTGTACATGTATGTGTACGTGCACGTATGTATGTATGTCGGTCTGACTGGTGTAATGTATGTATTAATGTATGTATGTGCGTATCCGTGTAGGTACGTACGTATGCAGGTATGCATGTATGCACGGGTATGTATGTATGCATGCATGCTATGTGATGACTGTATGTATGTACGCATGTATGTATGTGTGCTTGTGTGTAGGTAGTAATGCATGTACGTATGTTTGCATGTATGTATGTACGTATGTATGTAGGTGT